GCGTTGACTTCGACTCGATTGAAAGCATCATCGATTGCGGTCTTGTCTATAGCAGGTCTGTTGAACAAATCCAGCAGTGAACGCTACCCTATCTAATGTCTAGATAGTTCGTCAGATGGCTTATCGTCGGTGGGGATCCATTGGATGTATTGTAATGTGGCGGTGAAGTCAGATAACCCTAATTTGATTAGGATTTGGGTGATGACTATTTCGAATGATAGGGATCTTGATCCGTCTTTCTTATAGACGTAATATGCGACGGTGGAATTCGTGAAGATAATGGGCGGTGTCCCGTCCTTGTTGATGGGTAATAAGGCGCTGACTCCAACCGTTAATACTTCGTGTTGAAATGCGCAATGGCGTGCATTGGGACTCCATGAGAAGGGCAGCTTCGGTGAAGGAAGGACATGTTATCGTAACCCCAAAAAAACAACCATATGAAGCTGTTGGAGGCATCGACGTATAATGGGTAGATGGCATGAAATCTTAGCTTGATTGGGTGTTAAAGGGCATCGATAATGACTTTCGCCTTTATCAAGGCCATGTATGTAGCAACGATAGACGTGAGGGGGTAATTGTTCACCTTGGTGTAGTAAGGAAAGAAGAGCCTTGACTTATCTATAATTTTATAGGCGAAGTAGTTAATAACTTTTAGTACTCAGGCTGCGAACAGACGGCCTACATAATAGATTTCCTAAAGAATTCAATTTTTTAAAGGATAAAGAACTATACTGTATCATCACGTTTGAACCATGATAATGAAGAATTTTAATTTAAAACATGTTTTATGCGCGTTTTGCTTTATTTTTTTTTAAATTTTAAGATCTATTCAACTAGAGGTCATCATTCCCCATTAATGGACGAGTCTATGTCTGGGGGGGCAGGAATATTTTTATCAAAACAAAACATAGATATGGGTATCAAATAATAGCTAATTTAAATATCTTTTAATTCAAAGCTTTCATTCTTGGTCTTGATGGGTACGGTAGGACGTGGTGTGGGGGGGGGGGGGTAAGAATAAAAAGTATCGATATGGGTATCAAATAAAAGCTCATTAAAATATCTTTTGATTGTAATAATAATTATCACTCAAAGGGGGCCGGTCTAGTCCCTGAGGGGTCATGAATATTTTTATCAACATAAATATCGATTAGGGTATCAAATAAAGTTAATTTAAATATCTTTTAACTGAATTCATTCTTGGTCTTGATGGGTAGGACTTGGTCTAGGGAGGGGGGTGAGGGGGATAAAAATATTGATATGGGTATCTAATATATGGTAGTTAAAATATCTTTTGATTATAATAATAATCATATCTATAAGTGAGCGGATCTAGGTCTCGGGGGATGGGGGTCAGGAATATTTTTATCAACACAAAATAACGATATGAATATCAAATTAAAGGTAATTAAAATATCTCATGATTGTAATAATTATACTATAGTAGGCGGTAGATCTTGGAGGGTCAGGAATATTTTTATAAACACAAAATATTGATATAGGAATCAAATAAAAGGTGGTGTTAAGATATCATGAAAATTATTATTAACATAAAACATCAACATTGGTATCAAATAAAAGTTAAATGCAACATATTTAGACTCCAATAATAAATATCACTATAAGCAGGGGTCATATATAGTCAATGATTTTTAAAAACTCATTGTTGCCTAATGATAAAATTATATGCTCGCAACTTAATCTAATATGTAATATTTTTAAGTCTCAAAATTTCTGAAGATTGAAACTATTGATCCACAAATTTTAAAATGACATTATAAATGTTTCTTATTGCAGTTATAAATTATTACACTTCTTTACAAGCAAAATCATCCCTATTATTAAATTTTTTTTCAAGCCATATAATCAACACATCATTTATTTATTTTTTTTAATTGAAATTTAAAATATAATTTCGAGCAATTATTTATTATTTAAACAAATAATATTAAGTGACATTTTCTGGAGCAATTAATGCCATTTTTAAAACATTGGCATCTTTTATTGTTACAACTTTTGGCAATTGCATGATTTACAATTGCCATAAGAAGATGCACTTCTTGATGCTGTTATTATGGAAATAGTCTTATTAGGAATGGCTAAATTGTTAAATTTTATTGATATGTGAACGTTCGTTATTAAAAATAGGGGATCATTTTTTCCCAAATTAGTTCCAACCTATAGTTACTCGCTTCCATTTGGATAATTTTGGCTTCAATATTTTTAGGGCATAGATTTGATCTATCATTTTTATATTGAGATCCTATACGTGATCCCCAATGAATAATTTTATTTTTTAAATTATTTTTGTAAACATTGTTTTGCTTATTCATATCTATTAAATAGGCAATAGACGAAGGTCTAGCTAAAATATTTATAATGCTATTGCCTATTGAGTTTGTGGCATTTTTAACTTGCCATAGTATTGTGTTGCCTATTTTATATTCCGTTTTCTCCGAAAGAATATATTTATTAATAGTGTAAAATGATTTTTAGGAATTCCCCTTTTTTATTTTGTGAGCAATCACTATACCCTCAGATTTATTAGTAATAGTATGGTTATAAAACAGATATAAAGTATTTGTGCAAGTTGAATTAGAAACTATGGTGAAATCTGGTTTAAAAATAAAAATATAAAAATGAATAGTTAAATTAGTAGGCTAGAGTTAGAAAGGTTTAATTCAGAATGTTACACAGATCTCACCGTTCAATGATAACTTATTGATCGATTCTAATCCCGATGAAATGAGTAAAAAATGAATAATAAATATTGTTAACCAATTTAAATCTTAATTTTAAAATTCTATACAAACCTCACCATATAATGACAATGGATTATTCTTTTTCTGATGAAAGTAATAAAATTAATGGATATTTTACTAACTCTAGCTTACTAATTTAACTTCATTTTTATATATTTTTTATTTTAAACCAGATTTCACGACAGTTTCTAATACAACTAGCACAAATACTTTATATCTGCTTTATAACCATAATATTACTAATGAACCTGAGGGTATAGTGACAAAATAAAAAGGGGGAATTCCTACGAATCATTTTACACTGTTAAATATATTCTTACGAGAAAACGGAATATAAAATAGGCAACACAATACTATGGCAAGATAAAAATGCCACAAACTCAATAGGAAATAGCATTAAATATTTTAGCTAAACAGTTTTCGTCTATTGCCTATTTAATAGATATGAATAAGCAAGACGATGTTTACGCATATATAATTATTCATTGGAGATCACGTACCTGATCTCAATATAAAATGATAAATAAAATCTATGCCCTAAGAAGCAAAATTATCCAAATATAAACGAGAAACTATGGGTTGGAACTAATTTGGGAAAAATTGATTTACCATTTTTAAAAACGAAAGTTTATAAATCAATAAAATTTAAGAATTTAACCATTGCTAATAAGACCATCTCCATAATAACAGCTTCAAGAAGTGCATCTTTTTATGGTAATTGTAAATCAATTTGCAATTACCAAAAAAGTTACAACAATTAGCTCACTATCTTATGGCCAGTTGAAATATACAATGTTTAGACTGGGCCAGAAAATCAACTTTCATATAAATTCAGCTCACTAACTATTACAGTCTAATTTTATTTTAAAAATTATGGATTGAGCCACATATATTAAATTTGTTTGATATATTACCCTTAAATGTTTTATGGTAAAATCATCTGGCACATCATACAGCAAAATTTATATCCTGTTTATCGAGATTAAAATATTTTGTGAATTTTGAAAAAGGAAATTCTTATATTTGATATTCATTAAAATTTTTATCCAAGAGTGAATATAATAGTAGAAAAGTATTTTAATTAGCTTCTATTTGAGAGTCATATAAATATTTTGTGTTGATAAAAAAATTTATTGACCCTCCAAGACCTAGACCCCATTTAGAGTTTAATTATTATTACAATCAAAAGATATTTTAATTACCTTTTTTTGATACCCATATATTTTTTTTACCCCCCCCCCCTCCATTCACCCGCCCCCCCCCCAGACCAAGTCATAACCATCAAGACCAAGAATAAATGCATCCAGCCAAAAGATATTTAAATTAGCTTTTATTTAATATCTATATCGATATTTTATGTTGATAAAAATCTTTTATCACTGTTTAAACGAGATAATACCGTTTTATCATTCCTTAAATTAAATCCCTAATTTTTTAGATCCCTTTAAAACCCATGATGATCCCGGATAGTTCTGATCTCTTTAAAAATTACGAGATATATATTATCAATGCCACTATAAATTTAGAATATTGTCCATGTATTTATTTACTTAAGTTAAAATAAAAAGTCTCTAGATCCTATATTAAGGCTCTAATTTAATTATATTGTTAATTAATTAAAAAAAATTACTTTATTTATGTAACAAACCTAAATCCGAATTTGGATCCAGATTGAGTTTTCAATTCTTAGCACCTCTTTTTTTTGTCTTGAATTGAACGAGAAACAAATCTGGTAAAATTTTGGAATGTTCAAAACCATGCCTGTGCACCTTTGAAATCTTTTAATGATTTCTATCTTTTTATTATCATAAATTACTTTTTTGTTCTCGAGATAAAAGAAATTATATTAATTATATACATTGGCCTTTATACCAAATATCATTAATTAAATAAAATTTTAAGCATTTTCTTCTAAATTTAATAGGTTTTCCATTATTAGATTTTAAGTATTGAATGATTTCTTCACCTTAATTTTTTCAAAATAAGTCTTTATAAATTATGAAGTTTAAAAAATAGTAGCAGGAAATATTAACAACTTTTTTTAAATTAACCTGTCATATTCATAGCATTCATATTTTATTAAAATTAATCGCCAATGCGAGTATTATATGCGAGTATTATATGCGATTATTTAAAATTGAGGTCATTATCAGGTCAAGTGATATTTTAATGCTTAAACCCTAATAATTTTCATTTGATTCCTACTAAAAATCGTTTGTTATTTTTTTATTTTAATAGAGCAAAAATTTCCTTTATTTGAAGACGAAACAAAACTAATGATGCTTACTGCCCCTGAAACGTGTCCCCTTCAAAATGATGATTTAGATTGTCCAATAATAAATTTTCCATTTACAGCATCTGACATTAAAGATATAATTAAATCTTTCAAACAAAAAAAGGTAGCTAAATTTTAATTTAAAATTATTTAATTTATGAAAGGTGTTACCTGCTTATTATGTTTTGAAAATATTACATTTTGCTCGAAATATAATAAAAACATGTCCAAATATTCGCTTAGCAGATACATCAATATCCAAAAATATAACTGTTTGTGGTGATTTCCATGGCAAATTAGAAGACTTATTAGTAGTCTTTAATAAAGTAAGTATTATATATAATTAATAATTATCAGAGACTTTCAGAAGTGCCATTTGCTCGTCCCGGCCCGGATTTTTTTTTTAAATTTTCGTCCCTGTCCTGGTTTTATATATTTTGAGATCAAGCCCAGATTTTTTTTCAAGATATATTATATTTATTTTTAATTTTTATAGGTAATAGTGGCAATTTAAAATATTTGGTTTTAAAATATACGGCACAGCCCGGGTATATTTTTAAAAAAAAATTTAAGCCTGGTCTGGGTATATTTAAAAATTTAAAACACGTCAGGCTTAGGGCCAGGCCTGCAGGTTTAATAATTATCATTTCATAATTTTTTTTTAGAGTTAAATATAAGATGATTAGAATTTAAAGATGTAAATGCAGTTATTTGTTATCTATATAAATTTTATTTGACTTCATTATTTTCTTATTATCTATGCTATTTTATTTTGGAATTTATTGAATTTTTTTAATATTAATTATGGATCAATTCATATCAATGTGTTTATTGGTTGTTTGCCGATTATCATATAATTTTAACATGATTTATATATTATCATTAGTTTATATTTTTCCTTGATTTGGGAACCATTTTATAGAGGAATAGTATTGTTTTGAATGATCTTAAACTATGGCCAAGTAATTTTACTCTTCTTAAGGGGATAAATAAATTTATGTTACATTTATTTGAGAAGATTGAATTGTTATAACTTCTTCTGAAATTGAGTATTTAACTAAAGGAAAACCTAATAAGGTTAATGTAGTGTACATTATATTTATTATATTTTTAATTACAGCTTAAGGTTAATTATTACATTTATTAATGTCTTCAATAGTTGTATATTTATTTCTTAATCGTAATAGAAAAAATAGTATACTGTTCTATTTATTTTCTCTTAATACAATAACATATAAACACTTATAATACACAATAATTTTACAAAATATCTGATAATAAATATATTCTTGTAAATTGATCTAATTCACTATCTTTAAAGTTACTCGGTTAATCCTAAATTTATCGAGTCACATTATTTTGTTAATGACTATAACGAAGTTTTTGCAATTTAAAAAGAAAATCACAGTATTGGACTTTGAGAGAGTGCTCCAATAGCGAGAAGTTGGCCTAGAAGTAATATTAAAATATTGCTGACCAACTAAGTACCAAATATTTAAGTCTAAGTTAAATTTGAGTTTTATTTGAGAAACAAAATTATGTATCATAAAATAATCTTTCTTTGAAGGAATTTATATGGACCAAAGATGAATGTGGTTATGAACCCATAAAAACATTTGGTATATTTTCCAAAGAAGGTAAGGGTTCTTGGGATATATTTTGTTCTTAAATAGAAAAAGGACTTAATGGATGTTTGAATTTCTCTAAGTGTAATTTTTTTTAATTATGTTATAATGTTTTAAATTGTTGCCTATTAAAAGGAATGGTATATAAAATTTATTTCCACTTTGTGTCTAATATTACTTTGATTTCATAGGTGGTTCGGAATTTGTTGCCTAAGGTTTAAAAATTTGAATAGTTTTAGCGAAACATGGCTATTAGTTGATGCAACTATTACGATAAAAAATTGATTATTTTTTTATGTTAATAAACGGTTTAGAGTAATTTTTTAAAATAAAGAGGCACGAGTAATTTTTTAAACACGAGTAATTTTTTAAAATAAAGAGGCACGAGTAATTTTTTAAAATAAAGAGGCACGAGTATTTTCTCAAATTAGTTATTTTTCTGACCCCCAATTATACATGAACATTTTTAATAGCCTGTAAAATCTGACGGATATTTTTCCTCTTCATCTCTATATTTATCCATTTTTATACCCTCTATATTCATGAACAATTCTATGATATCGGGCTTCATCACCAACTGACCATTTATTATATTGTGCTATTATCACAAACTTTTCTAGTAGTGCTTAATAGACTCAAGTTGGGCTTAAATTTATCTTAGAATGTATAAATTGGTAATACAAGGGAGGGGCTATTTATTAAAATAACAATAATTTTTGGAAAAATAGTTGTGTAAAATTAAATAAATTTATGCTGGAAGGTTGGCTAATATTTACTATTAATCTTGCCTTCTGTTCATTCTAAAGTGTTATGTCCAGCGAGTAGGTAAACAATGTGAGTGAGCGATGGTAACAAAGAGAACGAATGTTTTTTAAATATATAAATCAGAAAACAAAAAAATTTGCAAAAATTATAATTTATCAATAAATTCAAGATTTAAGTTAAAAAAATTAAGAAGCAATTCACAATAAATGTTCTTTTTTAGTTTAAATTTTACTGGTAAAAAAAGTAGGTTTAAATTGGTATTGTCAAACTACTATTGCATCCATATGCAGCCCTGAAGACTTTGTTTATAGAATATTTGAGAAAAATATTTAATAAGAGATAGTAATTAGTATTAAAGCGTATAGCTGGAAGTTAAGCTAAGATGTTAAGGGGGGGGGGGGTATTAAAATATTTACTCAAATGATTGCACTAATTATTTAATAAGTAAATTAATATAAAGCAAATGGTAGAATTTACCATTCTTCATATAATAGGAGAGTATTAAAAGATACATAGAATATAAAATTCGCATATAGATATAGGATTAAAATTACTAATGAGAAGGATATTTGGTATTTATTTATTTGTGTAGGAACAAGTTATTAATTAGTTTCTAAATATTAATTAATTTTAATCAGAAAATATTAAAAAGTTAAGCAAACAGTATTATCCTGTGAAATTTAAAACTTTTATTATACAATATTAATTTTATGTTAATAAATTTAAATTATTAAGGGTAGTAAATTGGATAAATAATATTGTTATGTTATATGGAGCAAACGTTAAATTAAGAACAAATATTTATGAATAAGTTATTATATGCTTACAATTGAGGTTTTTCAACAAATAAATGTTGTGATAAAATTGTAGAAATCTAACTTTTAATCCAGGATATTTATGCAATCTCCAAACAAAAATATAATTTGTTAATTTTATGAAATAAAATTTTTTTAATAAAAAAGGTTAAAACTAATTACTGCCTCTAACATTATCCTATTGTAATATATTGCATTAATAATTAGTTAATATCCTAAGAAATATATTGAATATACACTATGCCATGCATCATACAAAAATCTCCACAATCCACTTTTTTTAATAGCGGTTGATTCAGCGCACTACTTGTTTAAAAAAAATCGCTAACTGTAGCTATAGTGTTGTTTAACGGCTTATCCGAGTCAGCTCTAACAGAGCTGACCCAAGATTCGGGTGGTTTTTTAAGATTCAAAGTTTGAGTCATTTTTATGGCTTGACCCGAGTCGCCGCCAAAAAAATTGACCTCAAAACATGGGCCGATTATTTGATCTCGACTCAAAGTTTGGGTCGTTTACTTCGACCCCCACGCAAAATTCAGGTCGTTTTTTACGACTTCATTGTGTTCCATTTTTCGACCCGACCCAAAATATGAGTCGTTTTTTTTATCTGACTCATTGTATCAGATATGTAATTATAACTAATGAAAAAATATTTTGGTAATAAATCCTGATCAACTTTCCAAATAGGTTGATCTATATCTTGGGGGGTCAGGAATGAATTCAACTTTTGATAACATAAAAATTAAATATGGGTTAAATAGAGTTAGTAAAATATTTTTTAATAATAATGACGGTTTTCAGAATCATGATGGGCGGGTTTTAGGGGGTTTGGGTTTAAAATCATCAGGGTCAGGTTTTAGGGGATCACGGAAATTTATAAATTTTTACAGTGAATGATACAGCAAATAAAAAAATATTTCAGCTACAGCTATATTGTTCATCTTTCTAAATAAGCGGGTCTAGATCCTCGGTATCAGGAATGAATTTAACTGTCTATAGCATATAAATTCAATAAAAGCTAATTAAAATTTTTATTATTAATAATCATGTACGGATCTTAGATTCATGATGGGCATATGCATCAACTTGGTTTGCAAGTTTGGCAGTTTTGACGATAATTTTTATTAAATAAAGTAACAAATTATCCTCAAGTGCTATTAAGCAATTCTTTTATAAAAATAAACTTAGAAATTATTTTGCATTTACTCAAATAGACAATTTCTGACCTGTTCTTATAATATGTCAAAAATCATTGAACATATTTCAATATTATTTTTCGAGAATTATATAAGAAATATTCCTAATTTTTATTTTAGATATTTAACCTATCTCATTTAGTTTTAGATAATGTGTATAATATGCCTATAACCAAGGATCCAAACAGAAACAAATTTCGGTTCGGTTCAGGTTTAAAAAACGGTTTAAGGTTGAGGTTCAGTTTGTAAAAAATAAAAATATCGGTTCGGGTTGAACCTCTAAAAACCGGCTAGAACACTTTTTACTCAAACTTACATTCGAATTATGTATAAGGAAGGATATTTTTTTATTTCATCATTAAAATAAAAAACACATACATATAACCTCATTTTTTAATTGCACATTATAAAGTAATATTTAATTTATAAATACAATAAATAAATATCATGATTAATTTTAATATGAACGATATTTAACTTTATTTACTTAAAAATTTTTATTAAGCCGCACAATTAATATATTTTCAAGATTCGTCTCACTCAAATAATCTATAAGGAGATAGTTTAAATTTAATTGTTGAAAAACATCTTTCTACACTAACTTGGGTAGCCCGCCCTGCCAATGTGATATCAAATAATTTACATAATTCTGGGTATCGATTACTCTGATTTATTCAAAAGTCTAAAATATTCATATTTTTATAGGTTTTTTAGAAAAATTGACTAAAATATTTATAATATTCTCCGATTTTTGTAACAAATTTTGTTTGTTACCATCTTTTTTTTAATAAGACTTTATCCTCTTCAGATGAAGATTCATTAACTGGCGTTGATTTATCTTCACTAGAATCCTGCTCTCTTATGACAAAGTTTAAAATTTTTTTTCATCAGTCAGAAGCACTTGATATCTAAATAATTTAGAAAT